CGCTTTATCTTTTGATAGCTGGGCTCCATCAGCTTTCTTCACCACATTTGCGTATACACCCTCTTTGTCTTCAGCGATCGTGTAGAGAAGGTGAGCATCAAGGAATGGCAGTTTAATAGAACAAAGTGTTCTTGCATTGAGGTAGTACTTGAGTGTAGGCCCAATGTCCATCTGCTACCTTAATGCTAAACCTATAAATATATGCACATAGAACTATTTCCCCATCCTCATATATACATATATTTACATGTGTACATGTCTTTATTTAGACCTCTGTAAATGTCATTTGCCTCCTAGCTCGTTCCTCTATTTCCTTTGACTTTCCTCTTGTCCCGCTACTATGCTTAGCCTTCATTTGGGTTATAGTAATTCCTCTCAATTACATTACCCTTGATTACACCCCACCAGGCCTCCTACACCCTTCTCACTACCGATTTCGATCACTTGTTCCCTTGTCCCTGGGTTTAACACCACCTCCTTCCCCCCCACGTTCCCCTCTCCCATGTACCCCCAGAATTCTTGGTCCCATTGTTTTCTCCTCCAGATTGTTCATCCAGCCTTTCTTACTTAGACAGACCTGCGGAGATAATAACATGCACAAATACAAGAAAACAAAACAACAACAAAAAGTGAATGACAAAACACATAACAACAACAATAAAGAAAAGCTTGTAGTTAGTTCAAGGACTGTTTGTTAGCCTTTAGGAGTGTTTTCTGGTCGAGTCTGATGGGGTGCAAAGCCCTGGGCCCAAAGTCTATTTTTGGTATTCCCTGAGGACTTCATTGCTCTGTTCCTCTTGCTGTTCTGTTGCATGCCCTTAGTGTTTTGCCTCGGTGTGGTGGGATCAGATCAGGTGCATTTCCCACACTGTGTCTCCAGTGTGTTGTCCCTTGTCGGTCTATGGGTCAGTGAGGGATGCCTTGTCTCATAGTGGGGCCGGCCATGTCGTCTCCTCTGTGGATTGGCTGCTCTGAGCGGGAATATCATCATCAAGGCTTGGATGTGTTCCACTGCCCCTGAGCTGCAGCTTCAGTGCTGTCCTCTGAAATAAATTCTTCTGGGGGGAGGGGCAGGTGTCCACGTAGTTGGACACCACAGGTTCCCTACCCCATGCGGGCATGTCAGCACCTTATTCTAAAGCTGCTGATAATAAATCTTCCTTTGACTGTTCCAACCGAAGGCCCTTTCTAGGCTTCCTGTTCTTCCTTTGACCAAATGTGCGTGATGTGTTCATGTGTCCCCAGGTTGCTTCGCCAGAGAATGGAGCAGCTGGAGAATCTGATCTGCAGCCTGTCTAAGAAGCAGGCCTTCAGGCCCCCGCTGCCTGCCTACGAGTCCCTGGTGCAGGAGATCCACCACTACGTCACCAGCATCGCCAAGGCTCCGGCTGTCCAGGACCTGCTCTCCCGGCTCCTACAGGCCATCCACATGGATGGGTCTCGGTCTGCCCAGGTGTCCCAAACTCTTCTGAAGGAGGAAGCCTCTTGGCAGCAGTCACACCACCAGTTCCGGAAGCGGCTGGCAGAGGAGTATGCCCTGTATCCAGACACCGTGGCCCCGCTGCAGGCCTCTGTCCTCCAGATGCAGCATGGCATGAGGCTGGTGGCCTCTGAGGTCCATGCCTCACTCCATGGCAACGTGGTGTGTGCAGACAGGCTGGGTGCCCTGGCTGCATCCTTGCTGGCGTTCCCTTCAGTGGGCCCCACCTTCCCCACCTTGTATGCACATGCGGACACTCTGTGCTCTGTGAAGACAGAGGAGCTGCTGCGGGCCCTTGGGAAGCTGACCCTCAAGCCCTCCAGCGGAAAGGAGCCGGAAGGCAAGGGCCAGAGGCCCTGCCCCACCCGGGAGCAGCTGATGATGAACGCGCTCCTCTACCTCCGCTCCCACGTGCTGTGCAAGGGGGAGCTGGACCAGCGGGCCCTGCAGCTTTTCAGGCATGTTTGCCAGGTAAGCCATCCCGGGCCGGTCGCAGCACGTCCTAGGGGCTGGGAGGAGGAGAGACTGGAGGCGGATGGTGAGGAAGAGTGGTCGGCTGTCTGTTACTCCCCTACCCCCACCCCCAATCCCATCTTCCTATTAGATTTTTGGGCCTTTTCCCCTTGAATTTTAAGCGTTATTTTGCTTTTATTTTTTAGATCAGTGGCATTAGCCTTTTATCCACGATGGACACTGCAAATATTTTCTCTTTTGACTTTGTTTATGGTGATTTTGCCATGCCATTAAAATAAGTGTCACCCTTTTATTGATCTTAAAGGAAACTTTCTGGGGGCTTCTGTGTTAGCCATATCACTATGCTTCATTGTGAACAATTCAGAGAATAAGTAGAAGCAGCCATTTCTTGTACATATCATGTAAGCCCTGTATATAAGTCCTGTTAATACAAATGCACCAGCCCATCCCACTTTAGGCTGTCTTAGATGTGTGTATCTTTAGGTGTGTGCTTAAGCTTCAAATGGGCCTTCAAAAAGAGTGCATGGAAAAATTCATTTTCTTTTTTTTAAGTCATCTTATCGGGGGCTTGTACAACTCTTATCACAACCCATACATATAGCCTGTCAAGCACATATGTTCCCATCATCATTTTCAAAACATTTTCTTTCTACTTGAGCCCTTGGTATCAGCTCATTTTCCCTACTTCCTCAACCTCCCTCCTACATGAACCCTTGATAATTTGTAAATTATATATATTTTTTTCATGTGTTACACTGACCAACGTCTCCCTTCACCCACTTTTCTGTTGTCCGTCCTCCTGGGAGGGGGTTATATGTAGATCATTGTGATTGGTTCCCCCTTTCTCCCCCACCTTCCCCTTACCTTCTTGGCATCATTACTCTCCTTATTGGTCCTGAGGGGTTTCTCTGTCCTGGATTCCCTGTGTTTCCAGCTCTTATCTGTACCAGTGTACATGTTCTGGTCTAGCTGGATTTGTAAGGTAGAATTGGGGTCATGATAGTTGGGGGAGGGGGTGAGAAAACATTCCATTTTTCATGAATTTTTAAGCTTCCTGGTACATTCTAAAGGTTTTTTTTAAGTCTTTTAAACTCAGTAGTGTGCAAGTGCTTTTTTAGTCAGCAGAACCCTTTAACAGTTTTACCATAGTGTCCCAATATCTGACAGATAAAAGAGCCCTTTGACTGAGTCAAGTCTGTCTCCTCCCTGGCTCCTAGAACACATCCTTAAAACATAAAAAATTAGAACGTTACAACAAATCAACACTGTCTATAACTTATTTTTAAAAACTGTAACTTACTTTGAAACATATAACCGCATGCTGAAATTTTCTCCGTACTCCATGTTCTTCACCTGCACCCTGCTCCGTGTTCTCCCGCATGAGTGTGCCACAGCCCCACAGCAAGTTGTCATTCGAACAGTCACATGTGTACATGCATTTTTGCTATTCTGAAAAAAGGAGAAAAAGAAAAGGCACACGGCAGTGCCTATTCTTGGGTGCAAACCCTTGAAAGGGGAATGGCAGAGACATGCAGCTCCGCGAGGAGGCACTTAGGAAAAGCAGCTTCCCGCCCCGCCCTCCTTGGGCACGGTTGCTTGCTTTTACGCTGGGTTTCGGGTCCTGGATGTCGGTTAATATTTCTTTTTGGACCTTGATGTGTTCATTGTCATGAGGAAGCAGGTTCTAAGAGAGTCTCGGCAAGGCAGGTAAGCGCCCTTCTGCATGTGTGCCTTTTAGGAAATCATCAGTGAGTGGGACGAACAGGAGCGCCTAGCCCAAGAGAAGGCAGAGCAGGAAAACAGCCTCTACAGGTACCGGAGCAGGGCATCCCTGAGTGAGGAGGAGGAGGAGGCGCGGGAGTTTCGAAGACACTTCCCGCTGCATGACAAGGTAGGGCTGGCTTTGGAAGGCGAGCTCGTGGGAGCATGGCCGTTTCCTCCGGTCGCCGTGCAGTCCTCATTCACTGAAGGCGTCTCTTCGTTTTCTCGACCCTTCCTGCTCCTGCTGTCCTTCCTTTCCATCGAGTCTGGTTAGAACCCAGGTCTTCCTTTCAGTGTGAAGTCTCTACTGTCATTTACAGGATTTTGCCGATATCGTAGTAGAGCCGACACTTGATGAGAAGAAGGACCCTCCAGACGCTCAGGAAGAAGGAGCCGCCATCGACGCCTCGCTTCTCTCCCAGAGTTCAATGCAAGCCGTGACGCTGATCCACCAGCAGCTGTGCCTCAACTTTGCGCGGTCCCTGTGGTACCAGCAGCCTGTGCCGCCGCATGAGCCAGAGCATTACCTCCGCCTGTTTCTGTCCTGCTATCAGACCGGGGCCTCCCTCGTAGCACACTTCTACCCTCTGATGGGTACGGCGGGTGACTGTTTTTACGCCTGTGGGAGGTCCAAAGCAAATAGGTGGAATTGCTACTTCCTGTTTCTAGCCCAACTCCTTAGTGATGGTGTTGCCTTAGCTTAAAGAGTCTAAGCCAATTCAAAAGAACAGATGTGAAGTTCTGTAGTAAAGAGCTGTCGTTTGAATACGCTGGGCTGGCAGGATCACGAGAACAGGATGTAGACTTAGTTTAAAGGTTTCCCCTGTACCTTATTTGCACTTCCCTCCAATAGCTTCCGAGCTTCATAGGAAGTAATGCCTTCCTGGGAGCAACTGGGAACTTGTGAGTTTAGCTTACAGATTTTGGTTTGATGGCATTGGGCCTGATGGGATTCACTACAGGACCTTGTCAGTTAGTCCATGCCAGCAGGAGGGAGATGTTAAGTTTTGTCTCTCTTTACACACGGAAGTGTTCAAAAGGCGGGGAGGGGGATTTTTGAGCGGGTCGAGCTGAATTCTGTTTCCATTTGAGTACACATAAGCAGGATCTCTGTCTCTGGTACATCCAGATCCTTCCAGCCTCTGGTGACTACTGTCGTATTGGAATAATAGTGTTCTAGGCCAATGGTGCTATGGGGGAAAACAGGTTTGAAATACCTGCTTCATTGGGCCCCCATGAGTTTATTGTTTGGGGGCATGGTTCCAGCGTCCTTGTGGCTTCTGATGGACCTGCTGCTCAGGCCCTGAATTTGCCATCTTCTTGTTGAACTTCACAGGGGTTGAGCTGAATGACCAACTCTTAGGCAGTCAGCTTTTGGCCTGCACCCTCTCCCATAACACACTCTTTGGGGAATCTGCCTCAAGCCTGGTGGTGAAGCCAGATGGGCCCTATGACTTTTACCAGCACCCCAATGTTCCTGAAGCCCGCCAGTGCCATCCTGTGCTTCAGGGCTTCTCAGAGGCTGTCAGTCACTTGCTGCAGGATTGGCCGGAACACCCCGCCCTTGAACAGGTAGGGCAGCCAGTGAGGAAAGGAGGGAGGGGGCAAGGGGGGGCGTTGTCAAAAGTTCTTAGCTGCACTGAGATGGCCTGAGGCCATCGTAGGGGCATGCACTGGCCCATTTGTACATGTAAACAAGAACTTGCTGTTGGGGAGATTTCAACTCTTAACGAGTCCGAATCGCTGAGCAGGCCCCCTCAGAGGCTTGTCCCAGCTGACTGCCAGGTGTTTCTCCCTGATGCTGCCGAGGAGCGTGATCAAGTGGCTGCAGCCTGGCACTCAACTGTTAGGGGCCAGGCGACTTCCAGGGTGGTTTAAAGAACCCCTATCAGCAGGAAGGTACTTCTTCAACGCCAGGCGAACAGAGCCGTTTGTACTGGGTGTACAACTAATGTTTGGGGGAGTCCGTCGCCATGGGTGGCGTTAGTCTGTCGTTTGGAAGATGCTCTGCACGCTGCTGCTCTGCTTCTTTAGACGCAGCTGTTGCCAAGGCCCTCCCGGTTTTCCCGAGTCGATTCCCTCTCACAGCAACACGGAGACCGGGCAGAACTGCTCCGTAGAGTGCTGAGGCAGTCCGTCTTTATGGAAGCAGGCCGCCTCATCTTCCTCTCCGGAGCAGCTGATGGATTTGAACCGCCAACCTTCCAGTTTTCAGCCCAGTGCTTAAACCAGTGCACCGCCAGGGCTCCTTGTGCTGCAGTAGGCCTTGTATTTTCAAGATGGGCAGTTCAATCTTAGAGATTCCTCTTTGATCTTTAGGCCGTCAGGAAGTAACATTATAAGGAACAATAAAAGTAGTAATTAAACCAAACCTTTACTTCTTGAGTAAAGCAGCAGATGGAGAGGCCTGGAAGTTGCACCCACAGCTTTCAGAGGAGGTGCTAGTACGGAGGAGGCTCTGTGTGAAGCTTCCGTGGGGCCTCTCTGCAGTGCCCTGGTGGCATCCTCACTGGGATGCTGATGATGTGGGTTTTCCCTCCGCAGCTTCTGGTTGTAATGGACAGGATTCGTAGTTTTCCACTTTCCAGCCCCATCTCAAAGTTCCTGAATGGCTTAGAGATCCTTCTTGCGAAGGCACAGGTAAGATGACAATGGCCTCTCTTTTCCTCATTTTAGTTTGGAAGCACCTGAGAAAAAATGTGTCCCCTACACCGTGAGAGGGACAGTGACAGTTTGGGTGGAAGAAGACTCATCTTTTTGGGCATGTGTTCAGGTCTTAACACGTGAACCTGGTGCCCACACAGGGACCATCTGGCCTACCTCTTCTTGTGGATGGGGCTCAGCACTGAGGGAGCCTGCCAGGCAGTTCCTGGGGGCCTTCAGTGCTGGATGAGAGGGCTTGTGTATGTTGGCAGGACAGTGTGGCTTTGTTCAGTCAGCAGAACTCAGACCGGGGCTCCCACGCCTCTTCAGTGGTCTGCTGGCTGGAGGCTGCCAGGCGGGTAAGCTGGGGAGGCAGCACGTGTTGGGAAGACCTCGTGGAAAGCTGAGTTCACCAGGATATTCCTGCCGGGGAGGCCAATGATAGGATTAAATAGTCAGTTCCAACTTTGCTTCTTTAGGACTGGGAGCAAAATGCAAGTCGAACTCTCTCTCTCCGGACACACCTCGATGTGGTCACTCAGTTGATCGTTCGATGGCGGAAATTAGAGCTGAAGTAAGTAATGCTCGCATTTCCTCTCCCCTGAGCTTGGGCTTTTGTCTTTGGTTGATAGGTTGTACTTTTCAGGTTGTGCGGGGTGTGGTAATGACAGGCCGGACTTTTCGTTCACTAATCACAGAGTTAAAAGCAAGGCAGTAAAGTGACTTCATAGAGGGCCGGAAAAACATCCACGGAGGCAGCAGCCTGAGCATCTCTTCTATTTCCGTTTGGGAGGAGATACTGGGCAGATTCTGCTGCTGTGATTGCAGATAATCCCAGCGGCAGTCTTAAATACCTCCCCGACCGACACCTTCTCTCCCGTTTCAGCTGCTGGTCCCTGAGTCTGGATAATACCATGAAACGCCACACTGAGAAATCCACCAAGCACTGGTTCTCCATCTATCAGATGCTTGAGAAGCACATGCAGGAGCAAACAGAAGAGCAGGAAGGTAGCGCCTGTTGCCTGCTTGTGTAGAAATTCTGAGTTCTTCTTGAAGGGCAGTGGTGGCTCAGTGGTAGAATTCTCACCTCCCATCCAGGAGACCCAAGTTCAATTTCCATTCAGGGCACCTCGTGCACAGCCACCAGCCATGTGTATTTGTGCTGCTTTAGGGCCAAAGAAGTTTCAGCGGAGCTTCTAGACGAACACGGAAGAAAGGCCAAGGGATGCACGTGGGAAAATCAGTCTGTGAAAACCCAGTGGGTCACAGAAGTCGTGTCCCCCTGAGGCCGGGGGGCGGGGGGAGGGGGGGGCATCTAGATGACAAGCTGCACTGTGTGAATGTCCCAGCTCCCTGGGTTCACCAGAGCCATGCAGGATGTCCAAGAGGACTTCGAGTAGGCCTGAGCGGTCAGCCAAGGTGTAGGTCTGTCTTTCCTGAGAGCATAGTTGAACTTGGGAGCTTTGAGCTTTGTGTGACTTGCCAAAAAGGAGAAGGCCTCCTCGTTCTCTGTGCTGGGAGACAGTGGACTCGGCCCGAAAGATGTTCCTGTGGTGGATAGGCGTTAACCTACAGTACTTGTGCTGAAGTGGCCCATTTTGTGCTCGCAACTGGCACCTCCTAAATCGGCTTCATGACATAGGCAGCTGATGGCTTTATGCCCATGTGGGGTTGAGCTGTGGTTCTTGCCTACGTGCCTGCGTTACTTGTAGCCTCTGCTTGAGCCCCCACCCCCACCCTGGGTCTGCGCCATCGTGGAGCGCGTGCACAGTGTGGGCAGAGCGGGCTGGCTGGCTGAGGACACGCCATGTTTTATTCCCCAAATCGCTCAGATGACAGACGGATGACCCTGATGTTGCTGGTCAGCACTTTACAAGCGTTCATTGAGGGGTCCTCGCTGGGCGAGTTCCAAGTGCGACTCCGGATGCTGCTGGTCTTCCACTGCCACGTCTTGTTGATGCCCCAGGCTGAAGGGAAGGGTAAGGACGGCGCTGCGGCTGTTGCTGCTTATGCTGGCTGCGCTCTTGACTGGGCCCGCAGCAGGTTGTAGGGAGACCCTTGTGGTCGTTGCCCTGGCATTAGCCGGATTCCTTCTGCATGTGGCCAGGAATGGATGAATTGCAGACCAGACTGCTGCTGACAGGTGTGCTGGCAGAGAGAGCCAAGTGCAGGATCTGGCAGGCGGAGCCACCACATCTTTCCGTCTAGACAGTGGGTGTGGCATGCTGGCTTATCCAGACCGTGGTCAGGTCCTTTAATCTACCGAGAGTCCCATCCACCACGGATCAAAGACTGCATATAAATGACACACACTGTCAGATCGGTATAGATTGGCTTGTGAGTGCTCAGGCAAGGTGAACCTCCTAGTACGCCATCTCTACCAGTAGGCCCCATTTCTGCTGAACTTTTCTTTCAAAATAGTTTCGAAGACTTGGAAAGTTGCGGTCTTAGCCGAACTCCTGAGTGTGTCATCTTTAAAAGCTGAAGCTCAACGAACAGCCGGCACCGGGAAGCAGGGTGGGGATGACAGCTGGCGTCTCTGGGAACGACAGGCACCCCAGCACGCTGGCGCACAGTCTGCCTGTGGGTCGTTGTGTGGTCAGCTCCTGGCCTAGAGTCCTGAGGAGGTGTCTGCACTGAGGCGGGGATGCTGCGGACGGGCCAGTAGCACACTCACCAAGTGTGGCGCCGTGGTCCCTCTTCATTTCTTCCAGACTCACTCTGCAGTGTCCTGTGGAATCTGTACCATTATTACAGGCAGTTCCTTGAACGGGTCCAGGCCAAAATTGTGGAACTTCGTGCACCTCTAGAGAAAGAACTTAAAGTAAGACGAGCAGCTTTGGCACGCACTCTTGGGAGAACGCGAGTCAGCCAGTGCTTGTGATTGAGTCCGCCCTCCTACCCACTGAGCCATGGGACGAGCTGTGTCTTCCCACAGTGATACGGGGTGGGGGTGGAGGGTGCACCGCCCAGTGGAATGTAAGAGTTCCATTTTGCGGCGGCGACACCACTGGTGGCCTGGCCAGGTGTGTTTGGAGTTGGGCGGGCCCTGCCTGTCTGTGGATGGGTTTCCCAGCCTTGTCTAAGGCAGCGGTTCTCAACCTATGGATCACTACATAACAGTAGCAAAACAACAGTCATGAAGTAGCAACGAAAATAATTTTATGGCTGGGGGTCACCACATGAGTAACTGTGTGAAAGGGTCGTGGCATGAGGAAGGTGGAGCACCACTGGTCCAAGGGATACCCTCAAGCAGTCTGCTAGGGCTCCCCTGTTCTGCTGGCAGCCCACCTCAGAGTGTGCCATTGCAGTGGGCCCGTGCACCAGCAGGTGCCCGGGGAAAGAGGGCCCGCTCTTGTTGAGACTTGAGGTGGATGCAATGCTTGGTGCACATAGCAGTGCCTTACTTGCTCATCCTTTGGGGACCATCACATGGTTCCTTTGAAGACTTGTTGGACTTGTTTTCGGACACACAGGCTTGTGTTTGGGGATGGCGGGTGGGGTGGGTTCTGGTCTTTGGCAGGTGAGGTAGATAGAAGAAGACAGACTCACAATAGCCGTATAAAGCCTGTCCCACAAGCTTCGCTTATTTTACAGGAATTTGTTAAGATATCCAAGTGGAACGATGTCAGCTTCTGGTCCATTAAACAGTCTGTGGAAAAGACACACAGGTAATTCACCATCTAGAATGGGGGTGACAATGCTGCGATTTAGATAGAGGCAGCAAGATGACACTGCTTTCATGGCCTGGCCTGGTCCTGCTTTGAGCTGGTTGGGTGGCCTAACACCCCCAGCAAGTCTACCTACCGGAGGCCAAAGCAGGCGGCACTCTGTAGAGGGGTTAAGTATGCCGCCACCAGGCATCTGTTTTACCAGGAGCAAAGTGACCCCACGATTCCTGCCTTTAGTTTCTTCATATATGTATATTCATATATATAAAAGGAGATGACAGTATAACCGTGCTTTAATATATATATGTTTCTTTTAAATGGGTGTATGTGCGCGCGCGCGCATGGGGGTGCTTTACTTTTTATATTTCCTCACTTTGCATTCAAATTTTTTCTTCTCATCTCTCTCATTAACCTGGGTCAGGACTCTCTTTAAATTCATGAAGAAATTTGAAGCTGTGCTGAGTGAGCCTTGCCGGTCATCCCTGGTGGAGAGTGACAAAGAGGAGCAATATGACTTCTTGCCTGGGACAACAGATGCAGCCGCAAGTGACCTGTCTCCCATCCAAAGTCTGAACAGGGCACTGCGAGAAACCTTGTTGGCCTGGCCAGCAGCTGCACAGGTATGAGCTCGTGGAAGGGTGTCTGTTTACCTCTCAGGGACTTCCTTTGAATGAGGCAAAGAAACCCCTTTGACACTTGTTCACCTCAGTCCACTGCAGAATAAGGCAAAAAAGGAAAAGGGAAATTGGCCTTCCCACTTGGCTTAGTGCTAGGCTAGGTGAGGGCAGGGACTGCATGCCTGTGACCATTTCGTCAGACGCTGCCTTCGGGCTGCACAAAGGGCAGAGGCGGGCTGCGGGTACTGGCTTAAAGAGGGGGTGTATCACAGTGGTGTGAGCATGCTGCCGTGCCCAAACTCAAGCCCCAGCAGTGCAGAAGTGGATTGCGAACTGCCTGAGCACCTGAAGACGGCAGAGACGTGGGTGCACAGGTCTGTCAGGAGGGGCTGGCTTCTG